CTTTAACGGTTCGTTGGTTGTTTTCAGCAAGCTGTTGACGCATTTTTTTCGTGATTTTTTTGTATCGAATTCTGGATATATCGAACTATTTCGCGATCGCCGCGCCGTTCGATATATTGAGATTCGACTGTACATTCATATGAATTCCTGCACTCGACTAGAAACCTTTTATAGAACGAAAGCTCAGTGGTTAATGGCAGTGCACATGGGACACACACAGGTAATAAATTGCATGTCATCAAGCCGCAACTTGGTCATTGGCGCCAGTATCAAAATCACGCCACACAGAAGTAATACTTACAAGGTTGAGAACAGGACATACATACACTACACATTCATTTACTTTGTCTAGTAGCGATCCACCTTCTTTGTGTGATAGATGTGGAGAAGCACTCACCGTACTTCTTATTTTAGTTCAGTGTAAACAGTTAGACACGCTGAGAAGACAACACTTTCCATTACGTTACCGACAACAGATACAACTTCCTCTAGCAATGTTCGTCGGTAGGGAGCCACTTTTCACGCATAAATCGTTGTTGGCTTTTTTGAGAGAACTTTTTGATGTGCTGATTGTGTTGTAAATGAATGTTGGGTGATTTCTGTAATGGTTATTCAGTTTTTATTCTTTCATACATTGCTTGTTATGAATATTTTTGTATGTATTTCAGAGTTGTCATTCTATTATTTGCTGTCATGGGCCACATGCGTGTTTCTTTTTGTATTGTCGCTTTCCGCTGCATGTAATTTTCGTAATATTTGTAAATTTGTAGTTTAGATTTTTTCTGGGTGAAGGGGCCTGTCAAGCTGTGAAATGCAGCTTTTTTCCCTTCGCACCAAACCACGTATACAGTGCATTTTCGTGTACTTGTCACGTGGTTGAATAAACTCAAACTCAAACTACGTACCTTTCATGTAATATACCTGGGCATTCCGTAGTACCACCTCTCCAGAGATGTTTCCACTGCGGTGGCTGCACTGAACAAAGCACTTGCCTCACGGCCCTTGGACGCAAAGGTGTGAACGATCGAGGCTTTTGTGCTGATGCCAATATGTCCACTACAACATTTAATGTCACAAACTTTCATCATTCATTTACACTACACACATTTCACCACATGGTCATGATTTTAGTACTTCTGTGTTTTTACCTGCCTTAGCACGAGAAATATTAAGGCCCCTATGCAGCTGCTAATCGCAATCATTGTCCACATCTCTAGTCTAATGAACTGGCGCTCTTTGGCCATCAAATGGCCCTCGTGCAAAAAGCACCAAGTATCATCATCAGACATGGCTGTGCAGTGGAACACCTGCTTGACATGTAGACAGTTTCGGTTCGGTCTCTTCTCCGAGCCGGAGATATTTATTTATTTCATTTTCATCTTTCTTGCCGTCTTGGTCACGCAGAAGATAATGATTTTTCACTCACAAGCAACAACGCCGCTGCTGACACCGGTATCGCTGCAAAATGAGCTCACTAACACTATCGCATTAATACTCAACTGCCATGCAAAGAGCCTGGGTTAATGTATTCTTTCCATTCATAGACATTTTGTTCTCACTTCATTTTTTTTTTTAATTTCACGTAAGAGCTGTTACAGACACTAGTGCTAGCGGCGCCAGTAAGGGACAGCTAAGGCGCGAAAATTGGCTTTGGTTGGAATTGTAGTGATTTCTTGTATAAGACGCCGATCAGGGAAGGCACAGTTCTATAAAAGTACACTGGATTTATTTACACTATCTACAGGCACTAAAAAAGGCACTTCCAAACATCTCAAGGAAGATATCTGAGCGGGCGTCCAAATGTCTTTATTCGACCACTCTTTCTTTTATGGCGAATTCCACTCATCGAGCGGGAGCAAGCTTTCTTGCTCCGTGGCCGAGAATCTGCATTTCGCTGGTAGATTCGGAGCAAGTTCCTGTGTTCCACTGGCAGATTAGGAGCAACTCACTCCTTGTCGGAGCGTTTGGCGTGCTCCATCTTGCAGAGACGGATTTCCCCGCAACTCCGAGAATGCGTTGCCATCATTTCCAGCACATTTGGGTAGCACTGTTACCTCCAGCTGCCTTGAGCGTTCTTTTTTTTTTTTTTCGAGGCGGTGCCCTCTGCACAGGTGTACATTTCTAAAATGGTATTGTTTGGTGCTGTTGGTTTACTTCTCGCTTTGAGCGACAGCGAGAGCACTAGTAGCAGCAGCGAGGACGAGCTGCACGTGCTTTCCCGCCCCGCGTGTGCATGGCCGAAGATAATCGGCTATGTCGAAGAAGTTTTCAGGACTCATCTAGTGACGTATGTGTAAACAACTTCCGGTGCGTCCTCAGGCGGGGCATTCAGGTCTTCCACTCGCAGATCTTGCTTGGCGTAATACGAGTGCTCACTCCAGGATTTCGGCGGCTGCTTCGGATCTACCAGTGGAATTCGCCATTACACTCTCTGCTCTGTCGCTGCTTGTCCCCCCGGAGCACTTTTATTTCGCCCCGTAGGCGCTTCTCTTTCCCCGAACGGGTTCACTGTAGCGGTGTATCAAGAAAGGCTTTGTCGCCGAGTCCCCGTAAACGAAACAAAGATGTGCTGTTCGCAACAGGGATATCATAGCAGCTTTCTTGATAACATATATAAGAACCGAAACATCATCACTGTCACCAGAGCCATGGCCGACAGAACGGAGTAGATGCTAAGGCTTATCAATGGCTAGGTCAATGGGCCCGATTTTATTCCTGATATTTATTAACGATCTCCCAATTCATGTATCCTGTAAAATCCGAATGTTTGCTGACGATTGTGTTATTTACCACACTGTTTGTAACGCTTCTGATCAATTAGCTCTACAGAGTGATCCTAACAATGTAAAACAATGGTGCGATGATTGGCTAATGGAACTTAACCCTCACAAATGCAAAGCCTTATCCTTCACCCGCCGCCGTTCTCCACTTGTTTTTCCATATTCCATCAGTAATGTTCCAGTTGAAACTGTTAATTCTTTTAAATATCTGGGGGTCACACTCTGCAACGATCTTTCATGGGGTTTGCATATCACGGAAGTCATATCATCGGCAAACAAAACATTGGGATTCTTGCGACGTCATCTACGTAACGCACCTAGAAATGTAAAATTATTAGCTTACAAAGCCTTGTTAGAACTAAACTTGAATATGCTTCCCCAATCTGGAGCCCGCAACAGGCCTATCTTGAAGACGCCCTTGAGTGTATTCAAAACCGTGCCGCTAGGTTTATCAATAATTCTTACTCCCATGACGTCAGCGTATCTTTACTAAAGGCAGAACTTCAACTGCCCCTCCTTTCCCTCCGCCGCCGTATCGCCAGTCTTTCGTTATTTCATAAGTTTTTTCACAGCTCGATGCGCATGCCACCTTATTTTGTTCCCCCAGCGTACATCTCTCAACGAACTAATCTCCTCTTCAAGTCGCACGCCCACGTGCACGCACCGTTACTTTTCAACATCATTTTTTCCTCGCACAGCAGTTGCCTGGAATGGCCTTTCAGGCGACATTCCTGCCATTACTTGTACTTCTACCTTCACAACCAGTATCACTAATCATCTTTCACTTTAGGACAACGATTGTTTTCTGCTCAATTTTTATGTACCCACCCCTTATGTAAGGCCCCGCAAGGGGTCCTTAAGGAAATAAAATGAAATGAAATGAAAGGTAGTTAGTTGGTGGGTGGAAGCAAAGAATGACATGCACTACTCGTTGTTATCCCGGATACAGTATCTGGATACAGTATCCGTCGCCCTGGTTGACAACATCATTAATGTTGAAAAGCGAGGTTAAGGCTATGTTACCTTACCTGCTGTTAGACCTGCCCATGCTTTGTCAACTATGCTCAGTTAGAGTGGCCGACATTCCTAGAATTTTTTGCAGCGAAAGCTGCTATGAAATCGCAACTCAAGTCACGCGCAGTTGTCCGCCGCCGTTGTTGCCGGTGTCCATAACCACATCACGTGAAATGAGAAAAAAACCTAGCGCCAATGACATAGTAAGGCTTGAGCCCGGGTCCGCTGGGTGTCAGCCCAGTATTCTACCACGCAGCCACACCAGTGCTTAGGACTGGTTGGCAAACTTGCCTTAGGCAGGCTTGATGTCAGAAAAGCAATCTCGTTAATACGACTTATAAGGCGTTTTAAAACAGCGAAAGAACAACCAGTCGTCACACAATGCGAATAGCATAATGAGTGGGTCGTCGGATGCTCCAACCCATTACAAAAGCTTGTCTTGTTCCCCTGTTAACTGTGGCACATGCGCACTTCATCCATAATTCATCATCGCCAGCCACTGAATGAACAATTGACACAAAATTCCTTGCAAGTGTTTAGCAGATAGCATGCTTCTCAGAAGAATAGCAAAAAGTAGCATAGCGAATGCCGGCCTACTATCCAAAAATTTTATTAATAATGCCCTAGTGGATAACAAGCACACTTGCTTAAATAACAAGCAAGTGTGCGTCAGTAGTTACACAATGAGTGTTTTGAAAGGCTGCTCTTCTAGCTTTCGCTGTGTTGTCCCTTTCGTGCGGGCGTGGCATTTTTTGTTTAAGTTTTTTTTTTACTTCGCAATAGTGGTCACAGACACTGACGGCTGCAGACAACTACCCCGCTACAACTGCTGTTCTGATCTGATTCTGGATAATCTTTGCTGAAATTAGTGGCTTCGGAAATAATTTTTTTCGGCGTGTTGGCTTGGGATTCCGAGTACACAAGAGGGAAAAATGTTTATTTTCTGAGTATAATATTTAGATTTTTTTAAAACTTTGTGTCGATGCCCCTTAAGCATTTCTTTTTGATATGTATTTAGATAGAGGCTGTATACTAGTAAAGAAGATAACTAATTATCAGAGTGTAGTTCAGCCCTGGGGAGTAAGCATTGTAATTCAGTCTTCCAATTTGCAACGAAGAAAAAAAAGACTAGTGTCTTGGCAAGCAAAGAGAGTTAATAGCCATTGGCATGACTACTCATATGCTTTGTTGTTTTATTGATTGCAGCAAGGCGGCATTGAGCATGTCGCTGTAAGTCTGGAAGAACAAAACAAGAAGGTTGCGGAAGCTGGTTACGTGGCAATCAAAACTGTCAAGCCAATTGATAAAGGCAAGTCATCTTCTGTTCACTGTTTTGCAATCACATGCTCAGTACAGTTGAAACTTGACCTGAAGATTCAATATTTTACCAAGTTTTTATTCTAAGGAAGGAATTGCTTGCACCAGCAAGTTCGCACAAGGTTCATTGTTGTCATCAACTTGTAATAACAGAACTTTATGCCAAACCTTATGCTTGAGAAATCATTACATGAAAAAAATCTGCCAATTTTAAAAATTTTGGCACTGATGTGTTCTCTTTCGCATTTGCGCTCTAACATTGTCACGACAAAACATGCAGCTGTCCTAGCCTGCTTTATTTGACAGGGTGCATGCTAAGACCATGCACGGAACAGTCTCAACATCTTTGAGCTCTCTTAGGAAGTGATGACTGGTGTGTGCTTGCCTAGGAAACTACAGTGGCAACTTTTGTTATTTCATGGGTTATATGACAGATGGCACTCTTGCCCTTCAGTTTTATTCACAATTTCCGCGGGCTATAGGTGGCGCATCGTGCAATTCAAGGCGGCTGCCGGAGGATGATTAACTCGTGAACTCTCCTAGAAAAAGATGGGATGTACGCCCCGTGTTGCTTTCACCGGATGAACGCTTGATCGTCGAATGAAGATATATTGGACCAAAGTACTCTCCCAAATGATACGAACCGCTAAATGTTCGCTACCTCATTTCTTGCCACAGTGTGAAGGGTGGTGGTGTCAGCTGATTGACCGTGCATTGATGCCTTGCGTAATGGTGTGCGTGCTACAGAAAACTGTGCGAACTCGAATTGACATAGGAATGGAACAGTACTCTGAGATAATTTGTGCCCAGCTTGTCTGGCGGATTTGCCTCAGTAGTAGGCCACTAACGAATAGCGCGCCGTCGCGGCTGCACAGGAACAGATGTTCAACGTAGCGATGGTTTGCGAACGTATTATGCTGTCGTCATTACTTGCACTGACTGTAAGCACCGTTGAGTTGCTTGTTCAACGAAACACAAGCATTTAATTTCGCATTAAGTAGCGCTTGTGTCACAGCCATGATCAGACTCCAGCAGTGCGCAACTCACTGCGCTTGGATGTTGCAGATTTCATCAGCCCGATCGCAACAAGGATATCGAATTGAATACTTCACACGTATGTTTTTGCAACATTGAAATTGTGAAAATTTGTCGAACACCACCGTTGTTCGGACGTTACTGGGGAAGTGCACAAGAAGTTAGCAGAGAGGCGTGGACTGTAGTCGTGACTGCATGTTTCATTGCTCTAGCCATTTTGCTTCACTGGTGTAGCTGAAGCATGTTGATGGCATGCGGTACTGTGTAATATCCACTGTAATTGGGCTACATGCAATGCGCAAGAAAAGTATGCTTTTCTTGAAGCTCTGTGAAGGATATGATACAATATTTGCAATGAAGTGACTTACGAGCAGGAAAAAAACATCAACGCACGAGGGACGTGAAGTGCAACTCGCTACTCGTGATTTAGCAGCTCATCGCTCATTGTAGTTGTCACTCCCGATGCGCTCTAAATCCAGTGAAAAATTCTGGACGTCAAGACGGTTCTTCTTCGAACCCCTCTTCTGAAATTAATCTGAGAATTCTCTCCGCCTAAGGACTGATAACAAGCTACAAGCCTGCACGAGTATACTTCGTAGTCTGTGTTGCATTATATTATTTCCAGATGTTCAATTACTCGAAGCAAAAGGGACTTATTATCTTCAAACGTCTGCATTGCGGACCGGGAGGCAGCGTGGCATCCTGAACACGATGGATCCACATATCCGTCTTGTAACAGGCAAAAACCACTTGTCTGATGATTGCCTAAAGTCGTAAATTATTTCAGAACGAAACTTTCGAACACTATTCAAGATGTCTAAATTACGCACTCCATGACTCTGCGTTCTTTATCAAGAATATCACTACTACACCTCGCTTCCGTGGCTATCCACGGCACGGTAGCTAGCCCTCGTCACATATGCTGTACGAAACTGCTCGTTGCCGTGTTTGAATTTCTCTGCCTGTGCGCTTCTTTCATTGAACATTGAGAAATTTGAGTGTAAGATTAGATATGCAACTGTAGTGACGGCTGCCGGCCATACAGGCAGGGCGTGAGAGAGGAAAGCGGGAGAGTGTGTTAGATGTTCGTGGTAAAGCCGTTTTGTGGTGGTGTACGATGCACATTGCGTTGGAACTTTGCAGCATTATAGGATGTAGTTAGTCTTGCAGTGGTAGCTACAGGCACGGCCTTGTTATTTTTCTTTGTCAATATTATTTGGCAATCTTACAGCCTGACATTAATCGAGACCACTTTGCCCCCGTATTTAGACCGCGATAAATGTAAAAATATTGACAACAGTTTAATGCAGTTGAATCTACTGAAGCTCAAACAAGCATAAGTTTGAATGTAATGTGTTTGTACACTTGTGAAACTGAATATTCCACGATTATTTTAATCATCTAAGTAGCTGGTCGTTTGTATAAACAGAAAAAAAAACTTTTGGATAAAACTCGTTTGTTCAAGTGCAACAATTCTATGTCATGCACAACCGAGTTCAACTTTTTTCTTTTTTCACTGTGAAGAAGGATACCGCCAGATTATGTCGCACTTTCAGTTAGAACGCAACTGGGACCAGCAGCTTCCAGTTCAACTGGTGATGGTCCCCATTGGTGGCCAGTTGCAATGTAACTGGGACCAGCTACCAACCGTTTCCAGCTGAAACCATTTGAGCTGTAACTGGGACCATCTACTATCTGGAACCACTTGTAACTGGGACCCACTGTTCCCATTTGATTCCCAGCTGAAAACAGTTGGCCTGCAACTGGGACCACTTGATTCCAGTTGATGCCAGTTTAGACCATTTCGATACCCGGTTAGACATTTTGACCTGAGTCTGAACCACGTGAAGCTGCGCTGAAGGAAGCAATTTTCGCAGCTCTTCTTGCATGATTGCTTGGATCGTCTCATGCAAGTTGGTGGTTCCTAGCGCTTATATGCCGGCGTAGCTTGTAGATGAGAGGCTATAATATTATTGCTGTGTCCGTATCTCTAGCGTCTTCTCTATTGTTGATGCTTCTGAAATGAATTCGGCGACCGTCTTCGGCGGGTTCCTGATAAAACCGGCGAAGAGTTCTTGCTTCACTCCTCGCATGAGCAGGTGTACCTTCTCCTCGTACGTGTCGGCGTCAGCATGGGGGAAGAGTTTAATTATATCTTCCGTGAATAGCGGCAAGTTTTTATTTGGCATCTGCATACGGGTTTCTAGGAGAGTTGCAGCTTTCTCCTTGCGGACCACACTTGCGAAAGTAATGAGGAACCTGGCGCGAAAGACGTCCTCTGCTGTGAGGCTTCGCTCTTGATTCCAGAACCAGGTCGGCGCAGCATCTTGTAAGGCGAAATACACATGCCGGAGCTTGTCAGTGTCAATCCAATCATTGAAGACGGCAATGCGGTCGAACCTTTCAAGCCAGCTTTCCGGGTCTTCCAGTGGCGAGCAGCGGAAAATTGGCGGCTGTTTGGGTAGCTCGAGCAGGAGTGGTGCAGGTGGCACAGGCACTATCATTGTCGCCGTTGTCGAGGTCAATCTCTTGGTCTTTCGAGTCTTGTCGGGTAAAAGCCCGTACTCCGGTGGCAGACCTTGTTGCTTGCGGCTAACTCTCTGCTCGTGGCTGGTGTCGGTGTCTTCTTCGCGATATGGGCAGGGTTCACGGCTTGATGGGGGCGTCTGGTACATGGAAGAAGTAACACCTCCACCAAATGTCACGGGGTCGTGACGTGGATGAAGGGAGAAGACTACAGATTGAAGATGAAACTGTTTATTTGGGCTGAACTTGTGGCCACATAAAGGAAAGTCAGATTACAGCCAGGCACTGGCACTGATAGCGGCGAGCAGAGCGTCGGCCGTCGATGAACTGATTAGCGGTGAAGCGTGTCGGCATTTATAACACGTGCCATAGAATATTTTCGCATTTTCGCTAGCAGCCACGTAGGTTCCAGAATAATCTCTAATATTCGCGAAGTGGGCGTAATCTTAACAAAACGATCTACTACAGCTTCGCAGCCAGCTTCACGAACATCATAGGTGCGGTTTGCGCTGAAGGTAGTGCCACAGCCGCTGGATGGAAGAGCGCACGGGTACGGCTCGCCGCATGTTCCAAAAATGGCTTGACAGGTCTAGTTCCCGAACCACTGCTGCGGCGCCACCAGGAGGGGACAGTTTTCGCGAGCGCCCATAGAATCGCATGCGCGGCGCGCTTGCGGTAGTTACTATTGAGCGCGTGTATCTTTGTGTGTCCCGCGAAATCTTCTTTTAATATCCATCTGGCGTGTGCGCACCAGGTACTTACTAACCTTGCTTTTAGATACCTGCAGCTCTTGCAAATTTTTGATATTGTCTTACTCGAGATGGTACCTTGCACACCGAGCAGTTTTTGCGAAAGTAAGAATTGTGAGCGTATTATGCTTGGATCCTACAAGGTGACAACTAATATATCTGGAAGAGCTACACTTTTCTAATGCGTCTAAATTATTTATAGTACCTGTGAGTATGTCGCTTCAAAAAAGGTTGCTTCAAGTTTGTTAACTTCATTTAGAATATTTAACCTCAGCAACTGCAGTTGCAACTGTTCCTTTAACACAAACTAAGATAGACTTCTCACTTTCTCCAAACACGTCTTAGTATTCATACAATGCAGTATCAGATGCAACAGTCACGAAATATACCTTGCATGTGTGCGATCTCATAGTATTGGACTTGAGCCTCTCTGAAATTTTAGTGACTGTAATTTGAATGCTGGCAATTGAGCTAACAGTTATAAAGTGAATAGCATGAAAACTGTGAGAGGAAAGTAGCAATGATGCTGCAAAATGTGAACACAACTGCTTGCATTCCTGCGCTTCTCAGTGTTTCCGTCTCTTTCCGTCTCGACGTTCTTAGGATAATGGAACTAATTCAACAGTGAACACAGAATCGGTACAAGATGTGTGAAAATATTTTATTTATTCTCAATTTAGGGCTGATCCTGGCATTTTTATTTTTTTAAGTCTTTACACTTTTGCATAATCAAACGACTTGACAATTGCTCCAGGTTGTGCACCCAACTGTTGGCTTTTGTGTCTATCGACAATATAACCATCCGTTCGGTCTTTCCATGTTAGCCTCTCCACACGCACTGGCGAATCCGATAGCACTCCAACGCGCTTGTCATATGGCAGTCTCTGTCATGCGGTTCTGTCACCCATTACTATTTATTTGTTCTACTATGCATCGTCTGCAAATAGGCATCTGTCCTCGCTTAAACGAAGGCACGTCACGTGCACTCAACTGCCTTACAGCAGCAGGGGTTTTGTGATGTGTAAACATATTAGAAATGTGGTTGTCACTTGACCCGGTGATATATATATATATATATATTATATATATATATATATATATTGTCACAGGTAATGGGTATGAGCCATCAACTGTAGGTGGAATGACTTAGAAGTGAAGAAAGAAGAGGGCTTTTGCTTCCTGGTCTGAGGGCGAGAAAGACATCGATTTGTTGCTGTCTGTTATTACATTCGCGGCACTGGTGGAGGTGCTGGGTAAATGCACCTCGGCTGCAGATTTTCAGCCGACACGCTGAGCTACTTGGAGACAGCTACAGCTCCCACGGCAAGAAGCAGTCGCCGCCTGCGAGGGCGATCTCCCGAATACGGTCCCCTCTCTCAAGACGAGATGGCAACTTCAACTACCAACCAGGCGAGTCAAACCAACGACGCCTATTCTTTTCTCCCGCATGTTTTTCATGTGCCGCAACCCCAGGCTCATTTCATGGAGACATTTATGAAGATGTTGATGACTGGCTTGACCACTTCGATCGAGTTGCCAACATCAACGAATGCGATGAAGCTCGCAGCTGTGGAGAGTTTACTTTGCGTTAGAAGACTCTGTCAAAAAGTGGTATGGGAATCACGAGGGTTCCTTTGCGACGGGGCATGAGTTCAGCCGACAGTTTTGTGATGCGTACCGCAGTACTGAAAGGAAAGAGAGAGCGGAGCAGGCTATCTCGTCTCTGAACCAACGACCCAACAAGAGAGTTTTGATGTTTGTCGAGGACATGCTTCGACTCTTCAAACGTGCTGACCCTGCAATGTCCGAGGAAAAGAAGGTGCGGCATTTAATGCGTGGGGTAAAAGAGCAGCTCTTCGCCGGACTCGTGTGCAATCCACCGACGACTGTGGCAGAGTTCATAAATGAGGCAAGCACAATGAAGCGTACTTTCCAGTATCGGTCGTCACAGTATGAACGCCACGACGTGACTCCTGCTGCATGTTCTCTCGGCGCTGACAGCGAGAGGCATGCCCTCGCAGAGCTCATAAGTGTTGTGCGGGACGAGCTGCGCCAACTTCAAGCAGCGGGGCTCCAACCACCCGTAAGTGCTCTCGCAGACTTAATCCGAAATGAGATCCGACAGGTGGTCACCCCACTCGTGCCAACAAGGTTCGAGGACCCTGTGCTGACTTATGCGGCGGCTCTGCGATCTCCTGTACCACATGGCCCTGATCCCACCATGGGGACAATGTATCAGGCTAACCATCGATACCAGGGCACCTCTTCGACTCCGCCAGCCGCCTCAAGGTTTCCGAGTGCACCAAGTTATCGTCCGTCTGCATCGCGGCAGAACGCCACAAAGGCCAGCGTGTGGCGTACGTCAGATAACCGCCCACTCTGCTACCACTGTGGCGAAGCGGGTCACGTCTACCGTAATTGCCACTACCGCCAACTTTGTCTCCGTGGCTTTCACCCTGATGCTCGGTGTCCGCATTACGGTGAGCGTCCCCGCGACATCGAAGCGTACCTTACGGGCCAGCAAGCTCCTCGCCTTGGTCAATGCCCCCAATCATGATCACCATCACCTCGTCGCCACACGTCATTTAGCATTCCCTCGTCATCTTATGCTCCTTTCAGAGGCCGGTCACCGAGTCCCCACAGGGGAAACTAGAAACCGCGGCTCCTGGGGGAGAAGCCGCGTCCCAACGAACTGTCAAAGAGCCTCCCTTGACGCAAAGACCGTTCTGACTTTCCAGTCGTTTCCGAAAGTCATAAGACTGTTTCCGCCGACATCACCATACACGTCGATAATCACGTTGTCACTGCCCTCGTCGACACCGGCGCCGATTATTCGGTTATGAGCAGCGCCCTGGCATCCCAACTGAGGAAGGTAACTACCCCTTGGCAAGGACCGCCGTTGCGCACGGCAGGGGGCCACCTCGTCACGCCGACTGGAATGTGCACAGCCCGTGTTCGAGTCCGTGCTTCGACGTTCACAGGATCTTTCCTCGTACCGAGACGTCCCCGATGCTGTAATTGCAGAAGGAAATTTGTCCCTACTTTTTGCACAATTAATCTGCATAGCCCGAGGTATTGTTCAGCCCAGTAGAAAGCAGGCTTGCCTATTAGTCACTAATTTCAGCGATGAGTATCGCCATCTTACTAAACACACTGTAATCGCATACCTTGAGGATATTGCCGACGTCCCTGGTCCCTCAACATTATCTGCTCTTTCGTCGTGCGACGATTTCGCCATGACATTCGCAAGCACTCTCGACGTAAACCAGGGTATACCGTCCGCACAGCGGGAATGTCTTTTGAAGCTACTCGGTTCATTTCGGGACTGCTTCGCTACGACTTCGAAAGTTAACCAAACACCGCTTGCCAAGCATCGTATCATCACT